ATCTCCTGATCCTGATCAGATATGTCCAAGAGGCTGGAGAAGAAATTGCAGGGCCCTGGCTGATATATTTGCAGCAATGTTAGCCACGGGTGTGGTCCCGGAAGACTGGAGGATAGCGAACGTTGTGCCCTTATTCAAGAAGGGCTGCAAAGAAAAACCTGGGAATTATAGACCAGTAAATGTAACATCTGTGTTGGGAAAGTTACTTGAAGATTCTGAGGGATAAACTTAACATGTATTTAGAAAGACAGGCTTTGATTAGGAGCAGTCAGCATGGCTTCATGTGTGGGAGATCATGTTTTACAAATCTGTTAGAGTTCTTTGAAGTGTCCAGGAATGTGGTTGAGGGCAGGGCAGTAGACGTAGTCTATATCGATTTCAGTAAGGCCTTTGATAAGGTTCCACATGTTAGGTTGCTCTGGAAGGTTAGATCGCATGGAATCCAGGGAGAGTTGGCAAATTGCATATACAATTGGCTTGATGGTAGGAAGCAAGAGAGTAATAGCGGAAGGATGTTTGTCGGACTGGAAGCCAGTGACTAGTGACGTGCCTCGGGGATCAGTGTTGCTGTTTGTTATCTATAACCAATGATTTGGATGCAAATGTACAAGGCATGATCAGTAAGTTTGTGGATGACACTAAAATAGGCAATATTGTGGACAGTGAGGGAGGTTATTAGAAATTGCAGCAGCATCTTGATCAGCTGAGAAATGGCAAATAGACAAGTATGTGAATTGATGCATTTTGGAAAGTCAAATCAAGGTAGGAGTTTCATGGTGAATGGTAGGGCCTTAAGGTGTGTGGTGGAACAGAGGGACCTTGGAGTTCAGGTGCACGGTTCTCTGAAAGTGCATTCACAGGTAGATAGGGCAGTGAAGAAGGCGTTTGGCACACCAGCCTCCTTCAGTCAGAGCATGGAGTACAGAAGTTGGGAAGTTATGCTGCTATTGTACAGGATGTTGGTGAGGCTGCACTTGGAGTATTGTGTTCAGTTTTGGTCTCCCTGCTATAGGAAGGATGTTTACTAAACTGGAAAGAATGCAGAAGAAATTTACAAGAGTGTTGCTAGGACTCAAGGGATTGAGTTATATGGAGAAGTTGGACAAGCTAGGACTGTTTTTATTTCTGTAGAGCATAGGGAACTGAGGGGTGACATTATAGTAGTGTATAAGATCAGGAGAGACTTGGATAGGGTGAATGTACTCATTCTTTTTCCCAGGGTTGGGGAATCGAGGACTATAGTCCATCAGTTTAAGGTAAGACGGGAAAGAATACATGGGAACCGGGGGGGCAACTTTTTTTACACAGAGGATAGTACGCATATGGAATGAGCTGCCAGCGGAAGTGATTGAGGCAAGTACATTAACAACAATTAAAAGGCATTTGAACAAATACATGGATAGGAAAGGTTTAGAAGGATATGGGCCAAGTGCAGGGAAATGGGATTAGCGTGGATGGACGTTTTGGTTGGCATGGACCAGTTTGGGCTGAAGGCCCTATCTCTGTGCTGTCGGACTGTAGGACTCTGACTCTGACTCTGACTCTGACTATATGGCTATCAGTTTACCTTTTCATGCGTGAAATGGCTCAGTTAAACAATATTTTGTAAACAAATAAACAAAGAACTGCAGATACTGGAAATGTGAGGCAAAAACGGAAATTTCTGGAGAAACTCAGCAAGTCTGGCAGCATCTGTGGAGAAAAAGCAGAGTTGATGTTTTAGATCCAGTGACCCTTCTTCAAACAAATATGTGGTATTGTCTAGCCTTAAACCTAATAGCCTAATAAATCTCATGGTCTTGTACATTCCTCACTCCATCAGTTTATCAGGATTAAGAACCAACCTCAAATCAGTGAGGAATGCAAGAGCTTATCAGGAAAAGCACCAAACTTAGCTAAAAATGAGGTGTCAACCTGGTAAAGCTACAGCATGCTTGCATGTTAAATGTTGGAGGTTGTATGCTAGGGCAGATCAAGGCAATTCGACAACCAATGGATCAGATTAAAGCTCTGCAATCTCAGACATCTAGTCATGACAGTTGGAAAGTAACAAAATATACTTCAACTGGGGGAGGGAACCTCCATGTCTATCACAAAGAGTGATGGGTTGCACTGCTGCAGCCTGAGCATGTGAATTTCTGAAGAACACAGTTGCAAGGTGGTGTACTTGCAAGATGGTGGAGGTTAGAAAACCAACACTAAGAAGGGAACAACACTGTGTGGAGCTGGAGGAACACAGCAGTCCAGATAGTTTCAGAGGAGCAGGAAAGCTGACACTTCAGGTCAGGACCCTTCATCAAATTTTTCTGAAGAAGAGTCCCGACCCAAAATGTCATCTTTCCTGCTCCCCTGAGGCTGCCTGGCCTGCTGTGTTCCTCCAGCTCTACACGGTGTTATCTCTGACTCCAGCATCTGCAGTTCTTGCTATCACAAAGAAGGGAACTATTTGAGCTTGTCCTTACCAGTCTACCTGTCCAAACAATCGTGGTTGGAGTGACCACTGCACAGTACGTTGAGTTGAATTTTTTGTCTTCACATTGAGGAATACCCTTCTTCATGTTGTGTGCCATTCCAATTGTTACATGATTCTGATTAAGAGATTTAGCACAAACTGTTTTATATTCCACCCAGTCTGTAATTTCATGGCCTGCATATGTAACATTATCGCTTCCATTAAGTCAGATGACTTAGCTCAATGAGTGTAGCTCAATGAGCAAATGAAGATTATGGCCTGAATTTTGCCTGCTCTCTGAACATTTACATAGGAGAGTCAGTAAAATAGTGACAGCAGCTATGGGAAGTCGGTCATCTGCTGACTACAAGAGAAAGGCAGGTGGCCAATTAATCCAATTGTGACCAATGAATACCATTATTAACTTTTTTTTGCACTTCCTGACATCTTGTTGACATCAGAGTGACCCTGTACTCTGTGGGGAGACCGTTGGGTATGTTGGGACGGCTTCTCAGGTAGTGAATAATGTAGAGGGATGCTCAGCCCTTTTGTGATACCTTGTCCTTCCAGTCTGATCTGGCATAGTGGGCAGTTGAGCAATGGGTTTGATAAACATATAAAGCTAGGTGTTTCACATTGCTGCGATGCGAAAGCAACAGCAAAGGCGTTTGTCACTATCAGTATGCTTTCATTGAACAATAAAGCTGTTCTATCTTCATATGTAATGTGGTATATATGAGTTTGTGTCGATTTGAAGATAAGTATGTAGACTGTATGCCTCAAAGACTGGCAGATCTTATGAAACAGCATATCCCTTCAGCTGTTTGCAAAAGGCAAGGTATTGACTGTACCCAATTAGCCCATGCTGGGAAATCTCTAGAGAGTGTCCACTTGCGGAATTATATCTAATGTTATTCAGAAGGTTTTAGCAAACCTTGTCTGTACCAAGAACTACCCTGAAAACCAATTTAGAATGTCAGTCGGTCTCATATTGTGCAGCAATTGTGTGAATTGAAAGCTGCATTTTTAATGAACAGGGTCCTGTTCTTTGCAGACTGAAAGAACATATGCACACATTGCGCCTGTTTCAACTCAACAACGTAGTGACAGCCACTCCTCAGGGCAGTTCTCTACCAGTTACAGTTAACTTGCTATAGTTTAAAATTTAAACAGCTTGGCAGTTAACTCTGTCATTTGGCTGCACTATCCGTTGCAAAGTCTCTACCAAAGAAAGTCTACTTGTCAACTAATCGCCAGTCTTCTCTCATGCAGCATAAATGCTGCTTTCCCTTTCTTTGGTATTTCTTCTAAATTGTCTTGGAAAGTTTAAAGTTTTGGCAAAGATCTATAGCTCAGATTGTGGCTGAGGTTGTTGACTTGCTTGTGGAGTGGCTTGTTTTTGTTTATTCTACACTGCTTGGAATTTATATGGTTGGGTCCATTATGGTGAGTACTGTCACTTCTGGTTTTGATCTGTATGGGTTTGTATATGGGGTCCAATTCTATATGTTTGTTGATTGTGGTATGGGTGGAGAACCATGCCTCTAGGAATTCCCATGCGTGTCTATGTTTGGTTTGGGCTACTATGGTTGCTTTGTCCCAGTTAAATTGATGGCCTTCATTGTCTGAATATACTGATATTAAGGAGAGTTTGTCACTAGGACACTATTTAAATGGGTCAGAACATACTGGAACACTCCAGAACTATGCCGGGAAGAGGAAGAACATTTATACAAGATTCTCGCTTCAAACGGATATCCCCACAACTTCATCCACAGATGCCTACAGAACAGACAACAACAGGAGGACACTGTACGACTTATCACACTGACCACACTGCCCTACATCAAGAACATATCGGAACTGACAACAAAACTCCGAAGATCACTAGGAATCATGGTGGCCCACAAGCCCACAACCACCCTATGACCAACACTTACAAGGATTAAAGACCCCATTCCCACAACATGCAGAACAAATGTGGTTTACAAAATACCATGCAATGACTGCCACAATCATTACATCGGACAAACAAGAAGGAAACTAGCCATTAGAATACGTGAACGTCAGCTGTCAGCAAAACGGCATGACAAACTCTCCTTAATATCTGTACATTCAGACAATGAAGGCCATCAATTTAACTGGGACAAAGTAACCATAGTAGCCCAAACCAAACATAGACATGCATGGGAATTCCTAGAGGCATGGTTCTCCACCCATACCACAATCAACAAACATATAGAATTGGACCTCATATACAAACCCATACAGATCAAAACCGGAAATGACGGTACTCACCATAACAGACCGGACTGTGTAAATTCCAAGCGGAGTAGAATAACATTGCTTCATGGGAGGCTCCACTGATGATGTCACCTAGCATGGTGACAAAAGGTCTGAACAAAAACAAGCCAGCTCAGTGAACAAGTCAACAACCTTGTCCTGGAAAATGCTTCGACAAAATGATTTTTCAGTCATAGTTATTGAAGTTGCTTGAATCTCTGGAGAAAGTTATTTGATCTGGTGCTGTAGGGTATGAGAGTTATATATGTTTTATGATTATTTACATTTATGTTTGACTTCTTGATTTTGAATTATTGGCTTTTTTTTCCTGTGTCTGACAGGCTTAATTAATTACTTGCAAGAATTTCTGCAGCCATGGCAATATCTTTATCTTTAAAAAGGCTTGAGGGATAGGACTAATGGGTTTTTGTTTACATTAGGAGAATTCACAAGTGAGCAAGGTACTTTAAGCATTCTGGTGGAAGTTTATGGACTTGCTTTTTTTAAGATCATGGAAAACATTCCTTCTGATAAAAAAGCTCAAAGGAAGTTTTATTTTCAGTTTGAGGCAGTTCTGCAGAAGTCTTGAATGAATATGGATGTGTACAACCAGTTTCCTGAGAAAGGGAGAAGATGATAAAAATAGATCATGTTCAAATAAGTTTAGTAATAATTCCAGACCAGGATAAAACCTTGAAGAGGTCATTTGAAGCTGAGGAAGTTTAAGCTCAGGAATGTGAAAGCACCAGGAAGAGGCTAATAGATTTTTCAGAATGGAAGTCGAAGGCACAGTTAACGCAAGCCCATAGCAGTGTTAGAGAAGGCAGTTTTCCACTGGAGTGAGTACTGTAGAAGGGGTGCTTTTGGGATATGTAAAGGCATACTTTTTTGGATTAATCCAGTTATATTTTTACCATGTGTTTCAAAATCTTTAAAGGTGTGCAATATGTGTAAATAGTTGGTCTGTTCCAATTTTTCATTTCACTTACTTCATAAACTTCTGTTTTATTGGTAAAATCAAATCTTCAACATTGCTTATTTTTGAGCGAAAGATCACTTTGCCGTAACCAAAAACAAAATTAGATGTGATCTATCAAGCCAGATTTCAGTCTGAGATGTGACTTGTCCATTAACAACATCAGCTGGGATCATAACACAGTTGTTGAGAGAATAATGAATGACTTGAAAGGGACTTGGAAATGTGTACTAGAACTGACAAAGTTTTGTTAAAGCTTTTGGTTGTGGTGGACAATTTACACTTGTAGATTGGATCAGGAGTAAAATGAGAAAATTCAGATACAGATTTTTAACATTTGATGCCTTTCTATCAAGTTCAGGGGAGACCGTTTGAAGTAAAAGAACTCTTTTTAGAGGACATCTTGCGTACAACTGGATATACAAACAAAGAAATGTTGAAGTATAAAAAAGAGAAACAACGAGGTAAGCACAAATACATGTAACAATACTGTTGCTACCTGACTCCTCGATTTCCAAAAAACAAAACTAATACTGACCCAGTAGGGTTCAGCAACAGTCCTTTTCTTTTGGCAAGACTTTAACCTAACAATGTAATATAGTGTGTTTCAGGAATAACGGTATGTTAACATTAAAACATACTTAGAAAAAAAATCCATGAGCTAAGAATAATTTACGTTCTACTTCTCAGAGGAAAAGCAGCAAACAAACTTAAGTGAGTGGTATAAAGCTAAGGAGACCAGCAGTGCCAGCAGATCTGAATATCAAAGACAAAGATTTATCCCGAGCCTGACAGCAGAAAACGATTTGCTCGATGATGGCGGAGACAGTGTTTTCAGTCAGTTGGTAATTTGACAATTCTTTACTTGACTATTTTGGGATTATTCCAATTTTCCTGCTCTTCTGCCCACATTGACCATTTTACTTCGTTAGTTCCAAGAGCATGTGGTTCAGTCTACATGTTGTATTTCCGGATTCATAGTTATCTAAAAATGGATGCTCGTGCAGGAGGGTGTAATGAATTCACTTTCTCCATAATGTAACCATCTTGTATCATGAATAGAGATTATGATTTGCTCAGACTTCTGGTTGAGTGTCCATTACTATTTCATTTTATCAGTATTACCTTTGGTCAAATAAAACCCACAAAAAGGATGAAACTAGCCATCAAACTCCTGCTGTGTTGAAAGGTGTAACTAAGTAGACAATTGACTTGGCACGAATTGCCTGTGAGAAGCAAGAGAAAAATCTGTTGCCAATTCAAGAAATAATCAAGGGGTCTGACCCATCTCCTGCACTTCCACCCTTACCTTTTTCTCTTCCCTCCCGCAACAACGGTAGGGTTCCACTTGTCTTTACCTACTATCGCACCAGCATCCACATCCAAAAGATCATATAGATACCATTTCCACCATCTCCAGTGAGATGCCACCACCAGACACACATTCCCCTCCCCTCTCCTCCCCTCCCCTCCCTTATCCACCTTCCACAGGGACCATTCCCTCTGGTCCTCTCCTTTCTTTACCCCCAACGGTCCCCACAGTCCCACGGCACCTTCCCCTGTAATCGACAAAGGTGCAACACCTGCCCATTTACCTCCTCCCTCCCCAGTATCCAAGGGCCCAATCATACCTTCCAGGTGAAGCAGCACTTCATCTGCACTTCCCAGAATCTAGTCTACTGCATTTGCTGCTCACAATGTGGTCTCCTCTACATTTGGGGAAACGAAGCGTGGACTGGGTGACCGCTTTGCAGAACATCTACGTTTTGCTAGCAAAAAAGACCCTGAGCTACCTGTTGCCTGCCACTTTAACACACCACCCTGTTCCCTGGCCAACATTTCTGTCTCTGGCTTGTCAGTGTTCCAGCAAAGCTCAACACAGGCTGAAAGAACAACACCTGGTTTTCCGCTTGGGGACCCTGCAGCCCTCCGGACTCGATATAGAGTTCAATAATTTTAGGGCCTAAACTCTCCCATGTCCTAGCCCCCTACCCCACACACACTGTCCTTGTTATCATATAGCCTGCCATTACCTATTGTTAGTCAAACAGAGCCCATTAATAGCTATTCACCCTCCTAGCCAGATTGATATCAACACCTTTGTCTATCCAACTGCTCTTCTCTCTCTCCGGGTTCTATCCTATCGTTTACTCTCTACCCCATCCCCATCCCCCTCCCTATTTTCTGCATATAAATTGAAGTTTTCCCAGCTACCATCAGTTCTGAGGAAGGGTCACTGGACCCGAAACATTAACTCTGATTTTTTTTTCTTCACAGATGCTGAGCTTTTCCAACAACTTCTTCTGTTTTTGTTTCTGATTTACAGCATCTGCAGTTCTTTCAGTTTTTAAATATTCAAGGGAATTCCTTGTTGACTCGATAAGCAATCCAACAAAGCCTCATTGTTAGGACTTTGTCCCTGAATGTACAAAGGGCAGCAGAAAAAGAAAATTAGTACTGCTGACTGCTGTGCTGATTTGTTGTTGGCCATTTTCCTGAGATTAGATGTGAATTGGCAGGATTACCTGAACCCGAGCAAGTGATAGTTAATTAAGGCTAAAGCATGTTGTCAGAAAGCTCCTAGAATTTTCCAGACAATTTGCTTGCCCTGCACGACCTACCTGGGGCTGGCCTTCTGGTGGGAGACCAGTGTGGCCAGCATTCCTGGCAGGATTTGAGGCCCTCCACAGCTGTGGTTACAGCCTGTCCATGGAAGGGATGGACGCAAAGAACAATGAAAATTACAGCACAGGAACAGGCCTTTTGGCCCTCCAAGCCTGCGCCGATCCAGATCCTCTATCTAAACCTGTTGCCTATTTTCCAAGGATCTGTATCCCTCTGCTCCCTGCCCATTCATGTATCTGTCTAGATACATCTTAAATGATGCTATCGTGCCCGCCTTTACCACCTCCGCTGGCAACGTGTTCCAGGCACCCACCACCCTCTGTGTAAAGAATTTTCCACGCATATCTCCCTTAAACTTTCCCCCCTCACCTTGAAATCTTGACCCCTAGTAATGGAGTCCCCCACTCTGGGGAAAAAGCTTCTTGCTATCCACCCTGCCCATACCTTGCATGATTTTGTAGACCTCCATCAGGTCCCCCCGAACCTCTGTCTTTCTAATGTAAATAATCCTAATCTACTGAACCTCTCTTCATAGAGAGGTGACCCAAAGGTCCTGGTTGGTTATTGCATTGCTTTAATTTAATGGTTTTAAAAGACCATCAGATATAGGAGCAGAATTAGGTCATTCAGCCCATTGAGTCTGCACCACCATTAGATCACTGGGTTTGAGAAATGTATCAGCTTTCTCCTGCCCTCTCCCCATAACTCTTGATCCCGTTACAGCAGCAAGGCTGAAAGAAAGCATGCTGTGCTGGAGCTAGAACCTGAGGCAAGTCTTTGAGGCCATTCCGGTAGGCCAGGACGGTGAAGTGGTTTTGGGGTTGGTCAAGAAACAGGGTTGTTGTGTGTAAATTACTGCAAGCTACCTTTTAATTTGGTTACTTATTAAGAAATCTCCCAGACAATCAAATACTGAAACAATTATTAAAACTTTCTTGCATGTAACATCCAAAATTGGACCATCAAATTAATAAGTTAAGCCTCACAACTTGGCTATTATCCAGTTGGATAATGGTGGAATTTAGCTACGATTCCAGCCAGTTGTCTATCTCTGGATGTTCGTCATTTGATCCTTGTGCAGTATTGTGCTATAAGTTCTACTGAAGAATTGTGGAGTTGAATTCTTAAACAATTTTCCCTCTTTCAAGTTTGTGGTGTGACATTATTGATGATCCTTTAGATTCTTCCATCCAAAATATTGACTACTTCTCCGGAACCATCAAGTCCGCAGCTTGCCTCCTTATCAGAATGTTTCTGGTTACATGTGGCTTCAACAGTCAATGCCAAAACTTTTCCTGCAATTTAGCCCCTTTACCTCAGGATATTCCTTCTGCAGTCTCTCTTAGTTGTCCATTTGTCATGAGGTAGCAGATTATCAAGCAGTTATTACCTCCTCTCTCCTAAGAAACAGCTTGTTTATGTTGCTTAAACTCCTCCTTTCCAGGGATGGCTAATTCACGTGTTGCTTTTAATTATTTTAAAATGGTTTACTCTTGTCCCTTTACAGTTTACTCCAGAAAGAGTTATTGTTGATTGCTTAAATTCATGAACAATTACTAAAGTTGTGAAGTTTACAGTACGCAGTAGATTGGTTTCCCAGACTTGGGTGGTAGGAAACGTTCCCCTTGTTGCTGTTCAGATTGGAGCAGCAGAAATGACTCCCTTATTTGGGCATTAATTGGCTACTTAAGGGCTATTTGATTGGTTAGTGGGTAAGTTGCTCAACATACCCTGCACCATCCTATCACTGGTAAAATTGCAAAGGGGGCAGGGTGTGTAAGTAGGTAGTGGGCATGAATTTTAGCGGATTGTATGTTGCCCTGTCTTCAAACCTGCAGGTTACGCAGCATCAATCCAGAGCAACCAAGAGGATATACTTTTTTAGCGTTAGGATGAGTTAACAGCCAAATGTGAATGAACATTTAATAACAATCATAATATAATATGATTATGTTCAATTTCCTGTTTGAAAAGCAGTAACCGGTACTAAGATTCTAGATTGATGTAAAGCTGACTTCAGTGTAATTTAGATAAGATTGATTTCAATGTGACTAGACAGGCCACTCTGATCTTTTGAGTATAGGAGCTGGGACATCATGGGTCGAGATTGTACGGGACATTGGTGAGGCCTATTCTGGAATGTCCAGTTCTGATCACCCTATTTTAGGAAGGCTATTAATAAGCTGGAGAGGATTCATAAGAAATTTGCCAGGAATATGGAGGGTTTGAGTTGTAAGGAGAGGCTGGATAGGCTGGGACATTTTTCACTGGAGCGAGGATGTTGAGAGGTGACCTTATAGACATTTATAAAATCATGACAGGTATCGATAAGGTAAATGACGACAGGTGTTTTTCCCTAAGGCATTGGATTTCAAAACTAGGGGGCATATTTTTAAGGTGAGAGGAGAAAGATTTAAAAGGGACCTGAAGGGAATTTTTTTATATAAAGGATGGTTTGTGTGTGGAATGAATTACCAGAGGAAGTGGTGGATGCAGGTACAGTTACAACATTTAAAACACATGTGGATAAGTAGATGAATAAATGTTTGGAGGGATATGGGCCGTGCGCAGGCAGTTTGGACTAGTCTAGTTTGGGATTATAATCGGCATGGACTGGTTGGACCGTCGAGGCTGTTCCCGTGCTGTGTGACTCTATAAATTGGATTGGGAAACATGGCAGAAGATTTGTGGGATGTATTCAAAACAGAATTTAATCAGATAGTGTCATAAGGGACAAGGTATTTAAGATTGGTGGGAAAAGGATAAAGGAAGAGGGTTAGTGTTTTTGATTAAGGAGAACAAAGCATAGCAAGAGAGGGAGGGTGACTGCTAAGTTTTCTGGACCTGATAGGATGCATCCTAAGATATTAGAAAGACGTCCTAAGACTACAGAAATCTGCAGCACAGAGGGATTTGGAAGCCTACCTACATAAATCCCAAAAAGCTAGTGTACAAATTCAGCAGGTAACAGGAAGGTAGGTGGAATGTTAGCCTTTACTTCAAAGGGGATGGAGTATAAAAATAAAGAAGTCTTGCTAAAACTATTCAAGACATTAGTTAGACCACACTTAGAATGCTGTGAACTTTAATCCCTTTTATAAATATGCACTGGTATTGGAGGCAATCCAGACAAAGTTCTGCAATCCGACCCCACCACCAAAGACATTTTTCCCTCCCCACCCTTATCTGTTTTCCAGAGGGACCACTCTCTCTGTGACTC